AATGGGAGGGGCAGAAGGAAGGGGAGAGAATCTTAAGCAGACTCCAGACCGAGCCCAGAACTTGACACAGGACTTGATCTCACAACAATGAGATTATGACCTGAGCGAAAACCAAGAGTCCGACGCTCAACTGACTGTCACCCAGGTGCCCCTGAAGTTGTATTTTAAATCAGATAGAAAAGAGTCACAAACAAAAATACCATTGTACTCTCTTTTATAGTTCGCTATGTATTATCTTTACCAGTGCTCTGAATATCTTGTGTGGATTCAAGTTACCATCTAGTTTCTTTTCCTTTCAATCTGAAGGACTCCCTTCATGATTTTTGAGGGTCAAGTTTGCTAGTGATGAATTCCCTCAGTTCTTCTGTATCTGAGAATGCCTTAGTTTCTCCCTCAGGAAAGGGAAAAGCAGACTCCCCCTGAGCAGGGAGCCCAATGCTGGGCTCAATCCTGGGACTCCAGGATCATGACCTGAACCAAAGGCAGATGCTTAACCGACTGAGCCACTCAAGCGCCCCTCTCCCTCAGTTTTGAAAGATAGTTTTGCCAGATATAGAATTCTTGGTTCAGTATCTTTTTCTTTCAGTATCTTGAACATGCCCTCCAATTAACTTCTGGCCTCTATGATTTCTAATGAGAAGTCAGCAGTTTATTTTATTGAGGATCTCTGTACTTGATAAGTCATATTCTCTTGCTACTTACAAGATTCTCTCTTTGTCTTTATCATTTGACAGTCTGACTATGTGTGAGTAGGTATGGATCTCTTTCAGTTTATCTTACTTGGAGTTTATTGAGGTTCTTGAATATGTAATGTTTGTCATCAAATTTGGGAGGTGTTTGTCCAATCTTCAAATATTCTTTTTGCTCCTTTTTCTCTCTCTTCTCCTTCTGGGCCTCCTCCATACATATGTTGGTGTGCTTGGTGGTGTACCACAGGTATATGAAATTATGTTCTATTTTCTTACTGCTTTTTTTCCTTTCTGTTCCTCAGGCCAGCTAATCTTAATTGACCTGTCTTCAAGTTTGCTGTTTCTCTTCTCTGCCAGTCCAAATATGCTATTGAGCCTACTAATGAATTTTTCATTTCAATTATTGTACTTTTCAACTCCAGAATTTATATATTCTTTATAAATTTCTATTTCTCTTTATTGATATACTCTATTTTGTAAGGTTTCATTATCATACTTCCCATTAATTTTTAAGACATATTTTGCTTTAGTTCTTTAAATATATTTTTAATAGATGATTAAAATCTTTGCAGAGTAAGTCCAACAACTTTGCCCCCTCAGGGACAGGTTTTATTTACTACTTGTTTTCTCCTGTGTATAAACCTACCTTCCTTTTTCTTCAGGTGTCCCACACCTTAAAAAAAAAAAAAAAACACACAAAAAACTAGACATATTAGAAATATAATTAATGTGGCAATTCTGGAAATCAGACTCCCCTACCCCAACTCTCCAAGATTTATTGTTGTTGCTGTTTTTTGTCACCATTGCAGTTGTTGCTATTTGTTTAGTGACCTTCCTGGACTAATCCTACAAAGTCTGTATTCTCTGTAACCACTGATGCCTCAGTTAGTTTACTAACTGATAGCTAATGATTAGCCTGAGATTTCTTAAATGTTTTGAACAAATCAGCCTCCCAACATTTGCTGAGGAATTCTCCATGTGTTTTGGGATACGCCTGCAACACTTGAGTAATTTAAACTTCTGCCTTAGCTTTTATTAACTGCTTGCCTAGGACCTCAAAATCAGTCAAGAGGTGAGAGATTAGGGCCTTGTCAGGTCTTTCCTGGGCATGCACACAGTCCTGAATATGTGCTCAGTCTTTTAATTTCCTAGGACTATGTCAGAGCTTCTAAAAGTCCCTTAGGGAGATACCTTATCCTCATGTCTCACTTTTTAAGTTTTTGACCAGGTCCTTATTTGCCCAACTGCTATTGCCCCCTCAGCAGCTGATCTATTAAACAATTGCCACTGATCATTTTTGACAAATGCCCTGAGGACAAGATATTTCCTGCAGAGCAAGTTCTAAGCTCCAATCAAGCTTTTCCAGGGAACTGCAAGACAGGTCAAACAGGGACAATGCTCTGGGAATGGGACTTCTTAAGAAGCTCCAAATGAGGCCTGTCCAGCCCAATGGTTGCAATGCTGCTGGTTTTTACAAGCACCATGTTTGCAAGACTGCGATTTTTCAAGGTTACTGTAGACCTGAAGAGAGGGATATGTGAGCAGTTCAAGTTACAATGCCACAAAGACTGCTTAATGAGATTCAGCAGTTTTTCCTGAATAAACACTTCTCAGATTGTTGGAAGACTTTGGCTAATTTCAAGAGTTTTGAAAAGGTTGATTTTGGCCATCTTTGCCAATGTTTTCATTGCTTTTATGGAGGATTTACCCCCACTGGATTTTGATGGCTTAGCATAAGTAAAGAACTCATATGGCTATAAGACTTCTGATAAATTCTTTAGTCTATACCTGGCCTTAGGCACACAAAATTACTTGTGACTATAAATTAAAGGCTCTATGAAAGTTAAGGGTTTTTGCTGTTGCTGTGTTTTGTTTTGTTTGTTTTTTTTTTTAATTTTCATTTAAATCTGGAAAATCCTGTATCATCCCATGGACCAGTTTCTCATCCAAAGGCTTAGAAGCTCCATCTTTTTTCTAACTTTTATCTACATCTAGCATAGCTAAAGGATAGCTAAATTAATTAAGGAAGAAAAAAAATCTGTTTTTAGAATAATGGGAAGGAATCTGAAGAGTAAGAGAGTGGGAGTGTGGTGAAGGCTTCTCCTCTATTAACCTAGTTTTAGTTGAGGCCTATTTCTTGATAATGTCTGCATAGAAAGAGCACAAGATCTGGAGACAGAGAGGTCCATAATCTCTAGATAGCTCCCCTTATTCTCAGCAGTATGAGCTTGGGCATGATACTCAGACTCTGTTGCCTCAGTTGCCTCATTTATAAAATGTGCATGATAATAATTATTTTATAGGTTTTTCTTATGCTTAAATATATGTGAAAGTGCCTAGAATAAGTAATAAGCACTCAGTTGAAAACCAGTTTTCTTTGTCTCAATAATATGGAAACATTAAGAATATGTAGAGAATAATAAGATCAAAGTATAAAAGCTGACGGAATTCTAAGCACAAAATTATCTAATGACCTAACAATTAGCTTTCCAAGAAGCGATTACATTAGGACCGGGATATATTTTTTTTTAAGCCCCAAATATAATGCATTTTACGTGTGAAAATTAAGATTGTAAATAGTAAAATACCCAGTTTTTGGCATATGTGACATGCTCAACAAATGTTACATGAATGTGTTCTTTGATTTTAGAAAAAGCTCAGTAAGAAATGGTAAAACAAGTTTTGATACTTAACAAGCTAAACTTCATTTATCTAGAAAATTGACTTCTATGAAACACCTTCTTCTAAAACTATGCTGAATAAAGTAAGACTTCAAATTATATATTTTTTTAAGCGTAGGCTTTACATTTTCTTTCTTTCTTTTCTTTCTTCTTCTTCTTTTTTTTTCTTTAACTGTTTTCTCTTACAGAAGAGAAGACATAAGCCATGCTGGCCAAAAGAGTGTTTTCACAAAAATAAAAGAATTCAGACAAATCAGAAGCAGGTACTCAGTCTTTTCAGTCATTTCAGACTCAGAAATATCTTAAACTTCCCAACAGTCTCTAGCCCTGCCAGTCTAGCTTCTTAGGCCTAACCAATTCCAAGCAGTTTTCTCGTGGTCTTTGTGTTTTCTATAAAAGTCCAATTTTATGTCCCACTGGTCACCATTAACTCTAGCAGCAAATCTTCCATCTGTTTACCATCCTGATCTAAGTACCTCAACAGAAAGGAAAGTCTGATTGCTTCTTTCCTGACATTTGAACTTTAAAGAAAACATACCAGCGATAAAGAGACAACTGTGTCCAATGAATGTAAAACAACGAATAGTGGCTAATATGTACTGGGCATTTACTACACACTGGGCAATATCCTTGATATAAGTTACATAATATTATCCTTATTACAGCTCTATGAAGTAGGCACTATTTGGGATTCCCACTTTTTTGCGTGAGAAAGTTTCCCAAAGGTAAGAAACCAGGTCGCAGAGCTATTTCACTGTACGTAGAGCCAAGAATAAACTCGGGCAACCAACAGTTTAAACTATGATACTACAGAGAAACTCTTACTCTCCCATCTCATCCGTCTCGACTCAAAAAACAGAAGCTGCAGCTCTGAAGCGCAAGAACTAGCTCGTACAACTGTTCTCTCACAACACAGATGTCCCAGACTCCTCTGTCTCCTCTTGTTGTGGCAGTCAGCTGCCCCCACTTTAGCGCGGCCAGAATCCCACACTGCCAGGGTTGCATGCAGCAGAAGGAAAACGGGAAAGGGAGAAAGAGAAAAGGGTTGGATCAAAAGAGACATAAATAAAGGATGAGAGAAATCTGTTGAGGGACACAAGAAACCTCAAGTGATAACCAGATAGAGTCAAGCCTGACCAAATGTGAGAAAGGGAAACTGGTCTTCCTGTTAGAGAATGCAATATCCCATACATAGCCACATACACCCCCGAGATTTCTGCGATAACCTGAGTACACAGCGTGGATCAAGGCATGGACTTAACCATTCTGTAACACCGGCAAGTTAGTCAGGAGCTCTTGTAGAAGGCAAAAGAGAACATTATTTTTCATCTTCAGACTACATGGCATGGGTTGTACAGCTGATATGAAGTTAGTTATCAACCAGTGTTTAAACTTGGCAGGTCTTTCCTATCCCTCTCTTGGTTAAGACAAGTTTCTCTGTATCGTTTAAAGTTCAAAGACATGAAACTGGAGGGAAAGTCACCTTTTTGCCAAGTGTTCTTATGACTTGGAAGCAATGGACATTTGTTCATGGCCCTGTCTGATTTCTGGCACACAGCAGATAAGCTCTGAGAAATACACACCCACTGTTACATGGAAAAGAAAGAACAGACATCAAAGCATCACTTACTTTATTTTTAGATACCGTATCAAGGGTATTCCATTTTCTTAAGAAGATCCAATAGGGGAAAAAAAAAAAGATGAGAACATCACTCTCATGCTCATGCAATACAGTGATCTAAATAGGTTCCAGTTCATTTTCTGTAGTCATCGGCCATTAGAACACATTCAAGCCCCTTGGTTCCGTCTGTTCCATTGCCAGGGAGAGCTCCTTGGAAACACTTGGTTAGGACACAAATACAATGCATGCAAGACAAGTCAGCATAATTTTCAAGTCACTTGCTACTTCCAGGAATGCTAATTTCAGCATTAACTCTATGTCTTCCCTTCCCAAGATGTTACCACTGCCATCAAAGAGATCTGGGTCATGTTCCTGGCTTTGAAGCTTTCAGCTTCCTTGAACACTACAGGAGGCAAACCAAGAAAGCTAGAGAGAGGCATGCACCAGAGAAATAATTTTCAAATTATGGGTTCCTCTAAGAGTATCTTTTTAATTTTGAAGCTTTGAAGAAAGAAGAAAAAATAAAAAATGAAAATTGGCCTTCGCCAAAACCAGAGAAGATTAAATCTCCATTTTCTTGGGGCTGCCCCTACCCATAGCCATGTTTTTGGGATTGGTCTCCGTGCTAAAGAAGAAACTGATGAAAAAAATTTAGGTGTGCAATCAATTCAGAGCCACAGAGACTGACAATACATCAAGATGGAGCTCTCAAAATATCTAGGAAGCAGGAAAATTCTGGAGGGGTTGAAAGGACAGACCTGACTGGGATGTCCAACCATAACCAGGCTGGCTCCAGAATAGGAGGTGTGCTTGGTCCCTGGTCATCAACCTGATAAGAGAGGGAACCCCAGCCCTTTCTGATCCTCCCAGCTCTCCCACCCTGGTGAGGTAGCACCATTCAGTCAACAGAGTGGCCTCTGGCACATGGCAGTGGTCCCAGAGGACCGGGGAGAGCCAGGAATCTTAGCCATTTCATTACTGTTGAGTGTTGGTCAGATGATCTGACTTCTCGGAGTCTTGTAAAATGGTGATAATAAAGCTTGCCTTGACTACTTCCCAAGGCCATGAAGACAGTCAGCTACAGTAACGTACATTGAAGTGTAGTGTGAAGGTATAGGGGCTAGAAGATACAGACCCTAGAAGATGGACTTCCTAAAAATTATATAAACCCTGGATAAAAGAAGGAGCTGCCCCACCTGTCTGCCACCCAGTCAAAGAGACCACTAGTACCTGAGAAGCTGCGCAGGCTTGGCTGAGACAAGCCCTGCACACTGGTGAGTGCAGGCCGCGGGTGGCTTCGTGCTGCTGAGCTTCGCCTTTCCTTCTTCTGGAGAAGCGCTCCTTACCCTCAGGTACCCCTCCGTCCTCCCAGTCCCACCTGGTGCTGTAGTGGAGCTGGCTCTCAAGGCTACAGCTAATAGAGGGTGAGGCTTGGCTTGCATGAGAGCTCAGAGGGGCGAGTCAGAAGGCTGTCTTGAAACTAGAAACAAGAGAAGAGGGGCAGCTACTCCCAGCAGACACCAGGAGATCTGAGGCTGGTGCAATGTGCAGCCTGTTTTCCACGAAGTGGAGGAAGCTGGTTTGAGAAGAGGAAGTGAACTCTCAAGAGAGGCAGACACTCTGGACCTCCTGGTGCTGTGAGGCGTGTTTCCGATGTTCTCAGACTCTCCGCCCTGCCCCTGCCACCCAGCTGGCCCTTCCTAGGAAGAGATGACCCAGCTAGGAAACTCCTAAAGGAGTACAGGCCAGGTTTTGTAACACAAGTTGGAGAGACTAACTCTATGTGAAGCAAACAGTAATTTCCATACCAAGGCAGACTGACTCATGGTCCATTCAAACTGTCATATTATTTATGGCAAGCACCCCAATGGATGTTTGCAGGAGGTCATGGTTGTCCTAAAAAATCAACCTTGAATGGCTTTTAAGCAATCCCAGCAGGCCATTGTGTCTGCTAGGGTTCGGTGAATTTATGCTCACCTTCTGGCATCCATTTGTATTTTCAGTCTTTACCCACTCTTAAAGATAATCCATCCAAAATATGTACGCTGTGAAGTAGTACTTATTTGGTGTATTTGTTACAATAGAAATAAACTTGCATGTAGAAAGAGTAAATAGTGAAATACGGGTAAAAATAGAAAAATGAGAAAAAAAATTAAGAACACTGACTTCATACTGGGATACACACAGGATAAAAAGACTGGAAAGAAATATTTCCAAAATTGGTATTTCCCAGTGGCAAGATGATAGATAATTTTCTTCTTTATGTTTTTGTGTCTTACTAAAGGGTATATATTACTATTCTAATAAAAGAAGTTACTGGGAGCCTGGGTGGCTCATTTGGTTAAGCAACTGCCTTTGGTTTGGGTCATGATCCTGGAGACGCAGGATCGAGTCCTGCTTCGAGCTTCTTACTCAGCGGGCAGTCTGCTTCTCCCTCTGACCCTCCCCCCTCTCATTCTCTCTCTCTCAAATAAATAAATAAATAAATAAAATCTTTAAAATGAAGAAAATAAAAAGAAGTTACTAAAAAAATATTGGGAGAAAAATGTCTAAATGAAGATTTAAGATTTTTTTTTTATTTGACAGAGAGAGAGAGAGAGAGGTGTCACAAGTAGGCAGAGAGAGAGAGGGGGAAGCAGGCTCCCCACCGAGCAGAGAACCCAATGCGGGGCTTGATCCCAGGACCCCAGGATCACGACCCGAGCCGAAGGCAGAGGCTTTAACCCACTGAGCCACCCAGGTGCCCCTCTAAATGAAGATTTAAGTGCTCGAAATTGAGCAACAGATACAGCAGAGCCTCACCCAAATGTCTTAGGCTCCTACAGGAAATCAGCTCTGGCTACAGACTTTGGCCAACTTGGATCCTAGTTGTTCTAGGGGCAGATAATAAAACAGTCCTCAGAACATATAGATCTGACTCTTTCGGCACACAGCCCATTCCACTTTAGCAACAGTCATACCTGGAAAGTAAAGTTACCTTTTAAAAATATTTAAAAGGCACATACAAAGGACTTCTGAAAAAAAAGGCTGGAAGTCTTAAGTGGCATACTCTGCTTCCAGAGACACTGGGCAAGGATGGGCTCTGAAGCTTAAGGCCAAGGCGCCCAGCATTCAGAAGCCAATGGTGGTGACGCAGGACGTACACACCTGGATTCTCTCCAGCCGCTGGCATGTACTGTGGGTTCAATACATCTTTATATGAAAATGATAGCGAACTGGGGCACCTGGGTGGAACAGTTGGTTAAGTGTCCAACTCTTGATTTCAGCTTAGGTCATGATCTCAGGGTCGTGAGTTTAAGCCCTGCTCCACACCCCCCCAAAAGATAGTGAATTGAATAATCATGATGAAATGCATAGATAAGTCGAAGAGGTACCACTAGCTTGCACGCTAACAGCGGGGAGGCTCAGAGGGAAGATGTCTTGGAAGAGCCTTTAAAGGATAAGGAGGCATTTGCCAGGCAGAGAATGTGGAGAAGAGCAGCCAGAGGTCTAGGCAGACCCAAAGTCACTGGGCATTCAAAGAAAGAGACATTGTATAACCCCAATATCCCTCAGTATTTTAGTGAGTGTTACAGTGAATAAGTAGTATGAGTACATAGTGAAATAAAAGGCAGAAACAGAAAAATGAGAAAAATTTAAGAATACTGGTATTCATTTTGTGATCCATACAATAGCTTAGCTTTGTGGAAACTAAAGTCGAACTGAGCCTTGAAGAAAGGCTAGAATTTGGACAGAAGTGGAAAAGGAGGACAAAGGGCAGTGTAACAAAGACTAGAGGAAAAAAATGGAATGTGAGACATTTTTCCCTTTCAGTGAATGTTTATTCAATGCTTACTCTGTCCCAAGTCTGGGGCTAAGAGCTTGGGGTGCAAGGAAGAGCTTTGGAGGCTGGGACTGTGCTCCCCACTGTAAAGATGAAGAAATGGAGACTTTACAAAGAGGATGCAACTTGTCAGAGGACATGGAGCCAAGAAAAAGCACAAGCCCAGTTTTAGCTGTGTTTTATTATAACATGTTAGAAAATACTGATGAGTTGTTTGTTATCATGGTGAAAGCTTAGAGGATATGGGGGAAATCCATGCAGCTCCTTTTCTGCTATTCAAATTAAACATTATGTTTTATTTAGGTAAATACCCAGTACTAGAATTACTAGATCATATGGTAGTCCTACTTTAAATTTTTTGAGGAACCTCCATCCTGTTTTCCACAGGGGCTGCACCACCTTAAAGGCATTCCCATCAACAGTGCACGGGGGTTCCTTTTTCTTCACCTCCTCACCAACACTTATTATTTCCTCTTTTTGATTGTAGCCATTCTGTAAAGGTAAGGGGATATCTCATGGTGGTTTTGCCTTGCATTTCCCTGATGATGAGTGATGTTGAGCACCTTTTCATGTATCTTTTGGCCACCTGGATGTCTTCTCTGGAAAAGTGTCTATTCAGGTCTTCTGCCCATTTTTTGATCAAATTATTTGAGGTTTATTTTATGTTGAGTTATATAAGTTCTTTATATATTTTGGAAATTAACCCCTTATTGGATATAATATTTGCAAATATATTCTCCTTTCAGTAGGTTGCTTTTTTTGTTTGATGGGTTTCCTTCACTATGCAGAAGCTTTTTACTTTGAGGCAGTCAAAATTTTTTAAAAAAGCTTTTTATTTTGATGTGCTTTTGTTTCCCTTACCATAGGAGACATATCTAAAAAAATGTTGTTATGACTATCCCTATGTTTATTGCAGCATTATTTATAATAGCCAAGATATGGAATCCAAGTGTCTATCAGTAGATGAATGTACAAAGAGGAAGTTGGTATCTCAACACACACACACACACACACACACACACACACACACACACAACTGAATATTACTCAACCATAAAAAGGAGAAGATTTTGCTATGGATGGACGTAAAGTGTTTTATATTAAATGAAGTAAGCCAGACAGAGAAAAATACCATGATTTCACTTATATGTGGAATATAAAAACAAAACAAAATAAACAAAAAGCAGAAACCGACCTATAAATACGGAGAACAAACTGATGGTCACCACAAGAGGGGAGGCGGGGAGAAGGGCAAAATGCGTGAAGGGGAGAGGGAGATACAGGCTTTCAGTTACAGTATGAGTTAGTCATGGGGATAAAAGGTACAGCTAGAAAGTACAGAGTCAGTGGTATTGTAATAGCCTTGCATGATGACAGATGGTAGCTACAGTTGTGGTGAGCATGACATAAGGTACAGAGTTGTTGAATTACTATGTTGTATACCTGAAACTAAGGTAACATCATGTGTTAACTATACTCAAATGAAAAAAAAAAATTTCTTACTCTTGTTTTATGAAAATTTATTTCTGCCTCAGAGGATAAATACATGAGAGTTATAAGTTCTTGTAAGTGTCCTAAATCTTTTAGAACAATTACTAGCAGGACAGCATCAGGCTCAGCTTCATCACACCAACTGACAACTGACTAAGCCCATCCCCTCCAGAATGTGCTCCGCAAGCAAAGGGAGCAGATCTAATGACCATCTAAGAAAGGTCAGTGGGGCTCCCACCAAAAACAACTTTGTAAAGACAAAACCAGCCTCAGGATTTGTGTGGGAAACACTACACATGCTCCATGCGGGGGAGTTTAGAGACTCCCACTCCGCAGAAGGCCTGCAGAAGACTATCAGCAAAAGACACATCTTCCAAGAAGCTGAGCTTCACTACTCAGAGGTTGTCTACAATCAGCGCTTGAATTGTTCCCCATCCCTCACCCAGCTAAGTACAGTTTCCTCCCCTGTGAATAAGCTCTTCTGAAAGTAAGAAAACTTTCAGCTCACAGGCTGGATTTCCAAACACAAACATGCACGCACGCAAACAATGCTGCCAAAGAACAAAAAAACCCACCGATATTTTTCTTCTGAGATTAACCTTGTGCCTTGTCATACAGTTATATGTACTGTATGTACCTTGTACATACTGTTATACATACTGTCTTTAGGGTCACTGAAAAGTCATTTAGATCTATAGCAATTCTTCCTTTACCACATACTTTCAACTGTTACTTTTTTCCAAATAAGAGGTGCTTCTTGTGGGCTTACAAAAAAGCTATAGGACTCTAATCGGAAATAACATTAATATAAATTGTCTCTACCCTTAAATAGGAAAATCGGTTTTGCCTTTTCAATTTGATTTCTTTTTCAATCATTTAATTAGAACATAGTTCTAAAGCCTGCATTCATACAATGCTTTCAAATCTATTTTTGTATTCTATTTGGAGAGACAAATCTGATATTATTATTTGTGAATATATGCTCTCGCTCATAAAAGGCTCCTTAAGTCATCTGGGATGACTAAGGGAGGCAGACCACCTGTGATTCTTATTTCCCAAAAATCAATCCATCCTCTAACCTCACAAAAGCAGGCACTATTCATGCTGTGGGGAAATAAATAACAAATATGATTCTCCCTCAAAATACTTTTCAACGTGTATTTTTTTGAGATAAAGGGGAATAATGTCATTGCAAAATCTGCCTACAGCTGAAG